TTAAAGTTTCACAGAGCAAGCACATCTACTATCACATGTCCCGTTTTTTCTAACACATGATAACATTATAGCCATAATGATTTACTGACATTATATTGGAAGTTAAAAAACAATGCCATGAACAATCTTAAGCTGTTTCACTACACAACCATCTGTAACCATAACAACTGTTAAACACTGTTACAGTACATCATAAAAAAATCCTCATAACTCCTGTCTACAGTGATCAAAATTTATTCAACATTCATTAACAGAACACTAAACAGACAAAGAAACGCTTATGACACATTAGCCTGGTCGTTCAAAGAGGTTGTAGAGACCTTGCATATGTGAGGCATCCACACTTTTCCCCACATTCACTGCAGCTCAGGTGCTGTTATAATATTATGGATATGCCAGTCACGCGTATGATCGTCGTTTTAATCTCAGTTTGCTCAAAATAACGGCAACTAGTTCATGTTTTGGACAGTTTAGTCAGGTTCTTGTGCTTGCAGGCACACCTCTTGTAGCGATAAGGCATCTTCTGACCTCTGCATGACCTCATTTTGTGCACCATATTTCCCCAGTCATACAGGAAGCTGTTTGCACTTCACTGACTGTTAGATTTGTGTTGTGCTGTCATTTTTTCCCCGCCTGCTCATTTCTTTATGCGTACTATAAGACACACGCTCCCTGTCATTCTTCATTTCCATTTGCTGTGCAAATGTACAAACCACTCATATGCAACACAGACCCCAGGAAACAATGCCGCTGTTGTGTTGTACATTATCATTGTCATTATTATTAAATCCTTTATTTGAACAGTCTCACTGATATTGCAATTAAAAACTGCACTTTATGAGTGATCACAAATTAAGAACAACGTTGAAATATTCCAGAGACTGCTTTGTTTTCCTCAATTACAGCAAAGTATTTAAATCCAGTTTTTTCAAGTTCGGCATGAATAACACGCACAGCTCAAGTTAAAGAGTCCTGTGACCTGATATTCTAAGCACCGTCTTTAAATTTGATTAAGGAGCAGAGGCAAACAGGCAGTCTTTGCAGCAGGGCCTTGTAAATAAACATGATAGAGAGGACCCTTCCTTTTCCATACACGATGCCACAGCGAGTAAGAAAAGAATCGCCTGTAATAAATCGTGATGGACTGTGACACAGAATCGAGGCTTCCAGGTGGATAAGAAGCATGCATACAAACAATATCACCGTAATCAAGTGCAGACAAAACAGTGGATTGTACACTGATCTTACGACCTGCGAATGAGAAACAGGATTCGTTTCTGTATAAAAACCCATTAAAAGGCCCTTTATGCTGTTTCACTTTTCTAAAATACCCCTGTGATCTTTCAAAGCCCAGCAGGTGCCCATCACTGCAGGAACCCAGGCAAGTGTGGTAGTGGGAACGCAGACGGGTCCCATGACTTTGTCGAGGTCCTCGTTGATTTCTGTCTACACTGCCCCATAAAATATACACAGACATTTTTATTGATGTCAGAACAGGTCAAACAATATGTAAGGGTTAACTGGCGGGCATTTAAATCTACTGGAAAACCAAAACCTCTTGTTTCCTGAAGATTTCTATAACTGATGGATCCATCAGGAGAAACTTGAAGTTCACCATCTAGTTCAACATGCATACTGGAGGAGCTGGGGATCAAACCACTGACAATCTGATTGGCAGGTGCCCCATTCAGGGCAGGGATAGCTCAGTAGGTAGAGTGGTGGCCCCATGACTGGAAGGTCGGGGGTTCAAATCCACTGAACGGCTACCCTGAGCAAGATACCGCCCCTACACACTGCTCCCCG